TTCTGCAGTCTACCTGTAGTATATTCATAATGACCGTATTCTACAAGTCCATTTAGCTGAATATTAAATGAAACAGGACCAAAATTTCACTAAAATACATCTTGACAGTTATTTATCTAATTTCTTTCAGTTTGATAATTTATTGACTCAAAGTTAAACTTAGACACTATAAAGCATCAACAGCTTTCCGCCATCTGCTGAGTATCACAATTCACTGGCAAATAAGGAAGCAACAGATTCCTTCTACTTCATAAATGAAAAAGAGTACAAGATGTTAGAATTGATTCAAGGATAAAGACCAAAATTTTCTGAATTCACTTTCAGCTAGAAGGGTTTCATCTGGAAACACGTTTAAAAGACTCAAATTTCAGAGAAGATGCCTAATCATTCAAAATAATGTACCTTAGCCTGGCACAAAAACCTGAAGCAGTTAAGCAAACAGTAGTTTTTCCCTTGGTTCTGAATAATTCAAATCACCCACCCCATAAATTCACTAGGTGGCACTGCACATCCAGCTGCAATACTCTCCATGACCAGAAATTCCAGAATAGCTTAATAAGATACACCCTGAAGCACAGAGTATGTGCACATATTTGTGGCCTCACATAATTATTTCTTACAATAAAGCTATTGGAAACTTCTATCTGTTTGTCAACACAATTTGCAGTTTCAGGAACTCAGTAACACTCACAAGACCTAGTAAAAGCTACTTTTAAGTGTATGCCTATTAAATTCTAAGTGATACATCTTTACGTAGGAATCACAATGTAATCATGAGGTGAATTAGTCACACGAATAAGGACTATAAACAAGAAGCATCTGAAGAATCAGATAGTATAATAATATATAAGAAACTCTGTAGCTGTGATAAGCATTTTAGGAATATTACCTTGTAAAGATGTCAGCTTATGGACTTAAATCCATGCCCAGCTAGCATGATACTTAGGCACATTGATTTACACACATACACACCACCCAATACGAGGATTTCAGTAAATCCTTTAAGTCATATTTGAAGATGATATTCAATTAAGGTCATAACATGAGAATAATGAACTAATATATTAATCCCCATAAGAAATAAAACAGAAAACTGAAATAAAGTCAAGTCCTTTGCTGGAGAGTTTGAAACATTCCTGTTTGATTTTGAAGTGTTTCTGGTCTCCAATATAAAGTATTTGCAAAATGGCTCTTACGTACCTCATGAATAAATCATTGTATTTGCATAACTGCACTAATCCATGGACAAAGACAGTTTCTTAGATATGGAGAAAGTCCAAGAACCAGAGGCGATGTGGGCGCAGGGCTGTTTGGATCACTTGACCCTGATGAGGAAGCTATATTTTTTTTCTAGTATCCGAGTATTTTGCAATGCATTCTACCATATGTACAGCATACGCAAAACCAGAATCTGATACGCAGGGCAACTTTATGGGGAAGGAAGGAGTTGGCCATGCGAGTGGTACTTACCTGCTTGGGGGCAATCATTTGAAAAGCAGAATCATCCTATCAGAACACCCTTACCAGGAGTGCAACGAGTGTTAGTGCTCCCAAGTAATTTGAACAACCAGAAGGTCACTAAAATAACTGAACTGGCCACGCTCATTCTTCTGGCACCAATTCTGAGTAATACTTGTGTAAAGAAATGCACTGTAATTTGCAATTGGTGTGGCATCTTCCATTTCAAGCACATTCACTCTAGTAAAGATCCTAAAGACATTCGACCTGACCTGTCAGCCAGAAATTACCTTGACCTTATGCTGTTATCCAACTTTAACGTAAGTCAAGATATAGTTTTGTATACTTCAATAGAGAGAAAGAAAATAAGGCCATAAAGAATTACATATGGACAGGTATTTGTGCTGTTCAACTCCAAAGGAAGTTTTTCTAAAACAAGGTCCTCCTTTAAAGCTCAGAGTATCATCTATGTTTTGCAAAAAGAAAAGGATCAGATAATCTAGAGCTTTTCTTCACATTAAATAAATTTGCCTTCGGTTCTAAAACAATTTTAATGTAAGGGAAGTGCTGTCCATATTACAAATTGCACCAAAGAGAGATTTACACATAATTCTTAGTAAGCCATGAAAAAAAATAATAATTGCAATGATATGGCAATTCTCTCAATATTAAGAAATAATAGCACACAGTATGCAGTAATAATTTTCTGGTTTTCATTGTGTAAATATCTAGAATTTCTGTAAAAGGAAGTTATCTTCTATTCTAATTAGAAACTCACTATTTAATCTAGGCTAAAATAGTTATGAAAATCTCATATTGCAAAAATGATCCTTAGCTGAGATTAACACGTGTCCAGATTCTCAAAGGCACAAGTATACCTATATGTATTTACAGCAGGAGCTGCAATGACATACTGTTAATGCTTTTGCTTCATTTTTGATCTTAAGTTCCCTTACAGAATATAGTCAGAACACATATCACTAAACATTACAAAACCACTTGGGAAACAGTAGATATCTACTTATCAGCAGGATTCCTGCATTCTTACACAATCCTCTCCCAGTACCTAATTCTCAAAAAGACATATACACACACTCCGGAAAAGCTGGACTCAGGCACAAACTATTTCTTTGAAAGCACGGTGGAAATAACTGTTACATCAGGTCTAGTTCTGAAGAGGCTGCTGACTGGATACATACAAGCAGATTTATGTATATTTCACAAGCTAACAAAAAACCCACCAAAACCAAATGCTAAAATTGGGGGGGGAACCAAAACAAAAAACCCCAAAAAAACTCTGTTTTGCTGAATTTGTGAAACCTAAGTCACAAACCTAGCATCAAAAAAACTGAGCCACCAAAAAAAATAGAAGCCATTCTTCAACATGTGGCCATAGGTGTTTAGAGACTACTTTGTCTAGGCTAATGATAGGTGTTTTTATCATTGTTAAAACTTCAACTTAAAGAATTCGCTCCTTTCTGCCGTTTATGCTATGCAGAATCTTTTTGTTCCCATTTAAAAAAAAAGATATTTAATAGAAGTAAGTAAAAATATATTGCTACTATTTGCTGGACAATGGTTAGTCTCACTTATACACATCCCTTAAATTAAATATTCAAGAAATAAAGATATGCAAATTAATTTTCAAAGACAATTTCTTACAAAAAGTAGGCTAATGCATTACCATTTAGTTACAAGACTACAAACATGGGTCTGGCCCAAAGCCCATTAACGTGAATGGAAAATGTCATACTAAATTCAAAAGACTTGGGATCAGTTCCTGTAACAACTGCATGAAGAACATTCCATTTCGGGAGATGCAGCTCCATAGCAGTGGTTATTAAATTCAATATGTGCTTTTAGTGGTTGGAAGTTTTTTCAGAAAAGAGTTATGCTGAGACGCAAATAAATTCAACTGCCTAATAGGCTACTAAATAAAATAAATAAATAAATAAATAAAGCGGAAAGTCACAAAGTGCCCAGGCCCTCAAGGTATCAGAAGACCTTGAGGAACCCCCTACTATGCCACACTAATCTAATAGGAGAAACCTCACCATAATAAGAATTCTCTAGGTCTTAAGCTGTAAAGTTAATTTTACTGTAATCTTTTACAAAGCATTTCGAGAGTTGAACATGCTCAGCTGGCACGCAGTTACTACCACTGAAGCTGGCCAGCACTGTGCATTCAGAATGGATGGCTGCACTTCCGGCAGGAGGAAGCTCTTCAGTGACCTTTTGCATCACCCCCCGCCCATGGATGCTGTCATCTACTAATGAGACCCAAAGATTGCATTCACAAAGGGTCAACAATACGTTATTTAAATTACGCCCCTCAGTGAAAGGGTTATTAAAAAAATATACGCTATTTACATACTTACAGAACTCATTCAGAGCAGTCTCAATTTCTGAATAATAAAATGAGTTATCTTTATTGTACAAAATAATCATTAAATAAAAAAAAAAATCCATTTCTTTTAGGAAATTTCTGTACGGGCCTTCTTCCACATCCTCAAATTAGACACTATCTTTTTGAATAAGTAAAAAATATTCTCAGGCAAGGCTCACATCACCTGCAGGTTTGTACATCTTCAATCCTGTTTCCATTATTTCAAAAATGTCATTCTTTCCCTTTTTCTGAATGCAATTATTTCACAAAGAGCAAAGGAAATTGGCTAACAGACTATACAAAAATAAACTATTAAAACTGACTGTGTAAAGTTAGGAAACAAAAACAATGAGAAAAATATTTTCCTCTCTAGTCATTTTTCAGTAAGAAGAGTTTAATTTGTTTCTTGAACCAATGAAAGACATACAGTTTCTGAGAAATTGTGATTTTTAAGTTGATGGAAATGACTTAAGTATAAACTGCATTTCCGTCTTGGTAGCCATTTGAATTAACTACAAAATCTTGCATAAGAGTAACTATACAAATTCATCTGGATAGAAAAAAAAAAATGTAATGTGTCGAAATGCCAAATAACAAAACAGCAAATATTGGACTCACTGTTATTCAAATTATTATACCAGAAACTAATTTCAGTCATAAATTTTAAGTGCACAATTTATTTTATGCTAACTGAAATCTACATTTGAAATTTACATTCTCTCACTATCATGTTGCAGCTGGCAGTTAACAGAAGACCCAATAACATTAAAAAAAAAAAAAAATCAAAGAGATAACTGGATGAAAAGAATAGGCTATGCTGAGAGTAAATCCAAGTTAAGTTTTCTGTTTGTTAAAGACAATTAATAATGGAGCGAAATTCCAAGTTAAGTTGCTACAGTCAGAGAAACAACAGTATTACTGCCAAATCTTTTAAAAAAATTAAAAGGCCAAGGCCCTAAACACAGGAAACATTTTTTCATTACCACTATGTTCAATAAACTTCTATTTTACAGAAATAAAGATAACATAAAGCTAGTATTCAGCACTCAAGTAATATTTCCTGCTAAATGACGTACAAAATCAAAACATCATTGTCAAATTGGAAAATGCACTTGTAACTGTACAGAAAAGCAGCATCTTAATCCAGTATACTTACATTATTGCATTCTCCCAGGAAATATAGTGCAAATCCATCAGCTTTCGTAGCTGCCAAAGCAATAATAAGAGAAGTAATTGTACTCACAGGGGAAAATCGAACTTACACAAGGTCTCTGAGGTGAAACTACAGATTCAATTCTACTTCGGACAAACATCTAAAATTCTAAAAGTGAAGGTTTATTGCTGTGTCCCTTGAAACTTCCCAGACTCTAAAAAGTTAGAGGTACGAGATAATTCTTGTTTTCTCCGTTGTCATTTACTACACTCTAAAAGATAATTAGAAACAACCTCTTTATACATCTTATTTTTATTCCACAGCCTAATGTCTGTAAATTCAAATTAATTCATATGACAGTATAGAAGTAACACAAGAACATGTATTTACAATATAATCAGCCAGATAACATTATAATTTCCATGAGTAAAACAAGTACCATTCATAGATGGTAAGCTATATTTGTTCTTGCCCTAAGATAGAAAATTATGGGAAAATAAAATGTTGCAAACATTGCCATAAAAATGTGTTTCAAAACAAACTGTTTCTATTTTCTGTACCTGCCCCATATCAAAAACACTGACACACACCAGAAAGTTTATACTTGTCAGATTTTCACCAGATTCAGACTGGTGTATGCACAGGGTAAAGACAAGTTCCTTAAACTCTCAAAAGTTTAAAGTCAACCAACCATCATAACTTATTGATAAAATGAAAACTCTCAAAATCAGAAGAGGATATAGCTGTCAATGTTTTTTACCCTGCTTTACACAACAGACTTTGACACTTCGAGAGTGTGTGTCTGGTTTTCTAACAGTTAATAAACATTCTAAGCAGTAAATGCACACATCTGATACCTTGTTTTTATGAACGAACACAGGAATCCATTTAGTACATTTCAGGGGAGTGATTATACTTGTGTGTGATAAAATCAATTTGCTTTCTGTGTTTCTTTTACAAAAGGAAAAAAATCTCCCTGTGTAGTTATTTGCTTATTGTCAACTGTGTAACACCAGTGAGAGTTCAGGGCATGGGAATTTGCATTCAGATTTTAAATCCTTCGGCTGTAGTATGTAAGCACATTGAGTTACGAGGCAAATGAGCACTGTAAAGAAAATATAAAAAAAGGCAAAAGTCATCTGCTTTACAAAAGAAGAAAAAAAATGTAAAGGATGAACAGGCTCTGTCTCCTATAGCTTCTTGCTTGCTGTGTATTAACAAAATCCAGTCTGATTTGCTGTGAGCTGGACATCAATATCCAAATAACCACTTAAGCAAAATCAGTAAACAGAGGTGGTCCTTTTAAAACATCATATATATAAACCAGAACTATTACTCACCCTTACAAAATGATGAAGTAGCAGGGTTGGTAAAACCTTTCTAAAGAGTTGACTGAACAAAGCTACTGATTCTTCCTATTGAACTCTGAGTACATCCACTCTGGCTAAAAAGAAGCCGAATTACACTTATGCTTTTATTGGGAATTTTTTTGGTTTTATTTTCTAACTTTTACTCATGTATAGTATTTTCTTACCACAATAGGTATCTGATGCATCAGATAGGAAAAAAAATGGTTAAATAACTGAACATAAGTTGAGATCACACAACAGATATGCCCTCTTTCAGTAACATCTCAGTTTCACTTCAAAAGGAGTTCAAATATGCACTGATATTACTGATAGATTTTTTTTTATTTTTTTTTTTTTACTTTCCATATTGACATTGCAACACCATCATAACCAGAACAGTCTATTCTTTAGTTCATTTAACACAGGATTCTAATTTTGCAATTGGAAACATCTTGCTCCAAAGATGGAAATCACTAAGTGCAGTCAGGGATTCACTGAGGGACAGCAGATGAAGTAAGTTTGTACTGAGACAACATCCAAAGAAAACACTCTTATCCCTCAATACCTGTCTTTGCTAATTAAACCACATAACAAATGTGCTACATATCAGAGCTAAATAACAGCTCAGCGACATCTGATTCTCTTTCTTACCTATTTTAATGATGCTGCTCAGTTCATATAGCAGTAGCTGGTTATCTCCTCCCGTATCCAGACGCTGTTCTATGTAGCTGTTCAACTCGTACACTACACCTTGCATATTTGTATCCTGGTACTATGGAAGCAAAGGCAAGAAGAACATTTTAGAATAACTCAGATGCATTTTGCAGGTTTTAAACATATAAATTCACTAAAAATAATATGTTGAGATTTCAATACTGAGTCAATCACAACTGTCGTAATCCAGCTGCCTGAAGAACTGTGTCACTGCTGAGCAAGAGGGACAGCACTCTGCTCTCTGCTCCATTAGACGTTTGTTCACAGTGTACTGAGACACCACTGAGCAACTAGTAATCACCTAAACTTGGCCAAGGTCGCATGACAATGTCTCAAGAAGAAGCGGAGAGATGCAACAATTAGAAAGTAAGTAACGTTCAACTCCTTCCTTTTAAGTTCCTATTCCATCACAAAAGGAGGCAACTAGCTACCTTTGCCAGAATCTTCCACCTCAAATTCGTGGGAGAAAAAAAGACAGAACTGTGCCAAGCACCAGAGCTTTGAGGTGGCAGCTCAAGGAGCTCAGCCTTTCAAACACAGCAGCAATTAACACCAACAGATGGAAGGACAGAAATCGCATGAATCAAAATCACGCTAGCCACTGTGGCCTAATAGGCATTTGTTTCAACTGAAGACGGCAGAGAAAGCCAGAAAGAAATTGAAAATTGGTTGGGATATTTAGATGGGAGCAGATGAAACAACATGACATGCTAAAACTTCATAGGAAAGGAGATGCAGCCTCCCTTCAGGGGCTGCATTTGGTTATCCAGTTCCCGAGTCCTGAAACCAAATCCTGAAGGGCTGATAAAACTGGCAGTAAATGTGCATGTGTAGCACGACAGCATCACGAACAATAATTTCACAGAAAGCAATACTTGGCAGTAAGCAAGGATCCATTACTCTGCCCAAAACTGGTAATGCGGTATCTCAAAAAAGTAATATGCTCAATTACTTATTGAATTCAGTGACGCAGTAAATTATGTTGCTTAAACTAAAAATGAAGCTGGTGATATTTAGATGAATTAATGTTGCTTGAAAGACCAAGACTTATTCTCCTGATCATTCATACTTTTGAGCCAAATATAATATAGACCAGACTAATGTAAACAGTACTATGGAAAATGCCACAACAGTTCGGAATACCACAGTCTACCCACCACTCCCATGTTTATGTGCATGTATGTAATTCTGCTTCATGTCTCTCTAGATCTTCTCTGTCTGTAACTTTGGATAAACCTGCACAAGCGACTCTTACTGAGGCATTAAGCATGTAACTTATACAATATATTCCATGGTATACCTTTTATTCCCACTATTACTTTCACGTGTTTCTATGTAAAACACACTATGTTGTGAATATAGAGCATACGGCCATAGATATTTAGGACACATTTGGCTTCCTCATCTCAAAAAAACCCTCAAAATCAACAAACAAAACCCACGAACAAAAAACCCAAATGCTTGCTGGATAATAATCAATTCCTGATTCCTTTAAATTAAGCAGATCTTAATCTTGACTTTAAAATGGCTCCTGAGAACATACAATCTTTGCCATGACCCCTACTTAACACATGGTGATGTATTAGTCATAGAATCATACAATTATTTTGGTTGGAAAAGACCTTTAAGATCATCAAGTCCAAATGTTAACCTAGCACTGCCAAGTCCACCACTAAACCATGTCCCTAAGCACCACATGTACACGTCTTTTAAATACCTCCAGGGATGGTGACTCAACCCCTTCCCTGGGCAGCCTGTTCCAGTGCTTGACAACCCTTTGGAAAAAGAAATTTTTCCTGACATCCAATCTAAACCTCCCTTGCTGCAACTTGAGGCCATTTCCTCTTGTCCTATCGCTTGTTACTTGGGAGAAGAGACCAACACCCGCCTGGCTACAACCTCCTTTCAGGGAGTTGTAGGGAGCAATAAGGTCTCCCCTCAGCCTCCTTTTCTCCAGGCTAAACAACCCCGGTTCCCTCTATTACTCCAGATGGACATATTAGAACATTTGAGACCTTGAGTGTCCAAAATGTCCTCAATGTATAACAAACATAACACTTTAATAATTCTTTCTATAAATTGATGTGATGGTTATACATTTTGACAGTGAGGTAAGGTCACACTGCATACGTGCATTTACTGCTTGGGTAAGTCTTGAGTTTGCAATACAGCATTCCATTACCATTATTAGTGCCGTATGGCAGCTGGCAAGCTTCCATTGACTGTCCTCTGTTTTGTTCCCACGTTTACTATTGTATGATTATTCAAAGGGAGAAAACCATAGCATAGTTTCATGAAAGTGAAATTTTTATACTTATGATATAGCCATAAGTAGCCATATAACAGGAAAATGGTGAATGAGAGTCTGTATTATTCATACCTGATCACGTCTGCAAAATTATGCATAGCCATGTATCCTAAAGCAACAATAGCCAATCAAGCACACATGGACAAAGCCTTTATCATGTGGAAAAATGCCTTCTCAGAACTTGGAAATGAATATATATCCCTTCACCTGTGATGCACAGTCAGGATTTAGATCAAATCTTCAAAGGTTAAAGCTAATACATTAAGAGAACGCATCATCAAAATGAGCCCACTGGCATAACAGCCGTGGCAGAATAACAACTTTCCCCATAATCAAGCAGCAGTTCCACGTGCATAGTAATTACATAACAAGCTGTATGCCCTTTATCCTCACCTCTGCAACATATGCTTGCAAACATTTTGTAAGCAGGGCAAATCCTTGCATGCATCCTTGTTACTAAAAAGACGGTAGCTGCGTAATACATACTGTTGTAACATGATAGATTTCTATAAGTGACAATCAGTGGATCCACAACTGGCCAGATGAATAGAATTTATCCATATTCACGGCTAAGTAATTCTATGACTTAGATCAACCACCAGCAAAGAATTACTCCGTCATGCTGCAAAATGGTTTTATTTTTATTACAGTGGAATGAAAGAGGTTTATTTATTTGGTTGTAGGCATTTTAGATTGGATAACCACAATTATGTTTGGCTGAAAAGCCACAATATATTCTTTATGAAATTATGTATTTAAATACTGAGTAAGTCATCAGGAAACCTTGGTATGAGCACTATCCAATGCAGTTGCTAACACAGACCTGCACATATCTGGTGTAAAGCTTACTTTAGGGAAGTAATTCCTCAAAAAAATTCAACACACTTGGTGGAAAAAGAGTATTTGTCATCAGATACAGCGTAAGTACTATTTCTTAATTTGTTATGGTGGTTCTGTTTGCAATTTAAACATTATTAATATTCAACTCCTTTCATTCATCCATTCTTCCCACCAGTGATTTCCTTCTATTTAAGATTCAGTGTCTACAAGTATTTTGGTGTATTTACTGCAAAATTCTAGATTCCAGTGACATTACATTAAAATAATTGGAGTGGACTAAAAACTGGTTTAGCACTACCATACCAGCATCATATTTCTGGTAGCTGGATATATTATAATAATTAAGAGAAATCTTGTTATAAATATTCATATTCAAATTTATAAATATGAAAGAAGGAGGTTTTTGCAGGATTTATATAAAAATATTTCTATGCTTATTTGTATTTAGAATATTGGCGTGCAACAGAGGACAGCAACCCATGACAGGTGATTTAACAGTGCTGTGACTTAGATCTAAACAAAGAGGCTGAGAAACACAAACATTTTATTCCATGAAAGAAGACACCGAAATATCATAGAGTGAGGTGAATTTTAAGCATTCATTGTGAACAATTAAGACATACAAAAAAATATTCAAGGACACAGTTTAATACCTAAAGGAAATTTTATGTATGGCAAACTGCAATGAAGATTAATTTTCATGCTTTCATGCTTATAGGGTAGCTGTGCCAGGGGCAGTTTATGGTCCTGTAGAAATGAAAAAGCCCTTCTGCTGCAACAAAAAGCCTTCATTAATACAGCACAGGGTCAATAAGTGCAAACATAATTCAGAAGCTGATCTGCTTTCTCTTAACTTCCTAAAACGTCTTCTGAGTAGCAACGAGAGAGTATATATATACTTACTCCCTAATACAGAACTTTCTTCAAAGCAAGTTGCCTGATTCTGCAACAGAAGCATGTCTTTTTACAAACTTCCTGGTGTATGGCATTGTCGCAGGCTAAGAGGAGGTAAAACAAACAAACAGTCAAATTCCATGTAATGTGGAGAAGGATGGCCAAATGTACTTTGGGGGTGCAGAATTTCACTGGATGAGGAAAGAGGAGAAAATCTGTGAAAACCACAAAATGATGGGGGAAGCGGCCGCATCCAGAGAGATTCCTCTTGATGTTGCTTATTTTTCATCTGTAATTTGGGCATCTTAGGCTGCTTTTAGAGGATGTCAGAGAGAACCACAAGACAGAGCTCTTTGTCAACGGATGCAGGCGGCCTCCAGCCGACCGCAGGGCTGTGAGGGCAGGAGGAGTATCGCCTTCCAGGAGGTGGCTGTAAAGTCCTGTTTCCTTACAGGCTCAATGGGGAAGGACAGCATAAGTGTTTTGCCCAGGAAATGGGATAAGGTGCTGACCTGTTGTATCAGTCTGCCTTGGAAACCTACTTCTGGGAAAGCAGGGACCAATTCTTCTAGCAAGCGCCAAGCATTTTCTTAAAAATTTTCAAGGCTCCTTACCCACCCTTTCAAGTATTATCAGACTGAAATGTAGAGAGGCCCTGGGAAAGCAGTATGGATCCTTGCAATCAGTGCTTCAGGTCCAGCCCCTGGTGCCATCCCAGGCTTCGGCTATTTTGTTTGTTACGTGAGAGGAGCTGGGAGGTGAGGGACACGGCCTGACTCCCACCATTATGCAGGCTGGCTGGACAGAGCGTGCAATGAGGGCATCAGCAGGGCTGAGTGAGCCAATCTTATGCATGTTGTGTCCAGTGCCACCCTATCCATTTGCAAGGCACTTGTGTCAGAGGGGCCACACCATGGATAGTTATAGGCTATCCTGTCCCAGGGCACTTGAAACTGAGGCCATACATGTAATCTGAGACATGTAAGTGGGGGTGGGTGTGTGTGTGTGTGTGGACG